GAGTTCTAAACTAAATTCAAAACCAAAATTAAAATGAGGGGAAATATGACTAAGTGACAAAAACAATGCACTATGTAATAAATGACTGTTAAGGTGACTTTAATTTCATGTGATACAAAAAGATTCCTGAGCAAATCTAATCAGGAAAGAATGACGAATTCCCCCTGGTCTGCTCTTTTATTTTCCCTGGAAATTTATGCTAGTACAGTCCCCAGAAAAGCCTGCAGTGATACCAGTAGAAATGAACTAAGCCTTCGCTTGTAATTTAAAACCGACATCAAAAACAAGTTGATCAGAGAAATGAAGTCCAAGATGTTGTGACCTCTATTTTGGTCACAATCACTTTCCGATGCATATAAATAGTTTAACCTCGTTTCGCGACTTTATCATGTTGTCAGGGTGGCCGAAGTATCAGGTAGACTCGAATTTCAAGGATTCGGTAGTAGGATCGTTAATGAAGCAAACTTATATTTGCTATAGCAATCGACGACATTACCTATTTTTCGTTTCGAGTAGGTTGAAATATTCATTGTAAATGTCGGCGAAACGTCTGAAAATGTACCTAGTCCATGGTTTAACGCTGGGAATTGCGATAACTACTATAGCACAGGACTTCATTTCGGAAAAGGTAAATACAACTAGGTCACTCTGACAACATGGCCAGAGTCGCCAAAACAATGCCAAACCACTTATGTACAAAAGCAATTAGTTTCTGCATATCATGAAATTTTTTGTAAACGAACCTAAAACATAAATAATGTATATATGAACAATTTAGTATTCCCATGTCAAAAAAAATAAAACTATTAAAAGTTCATATCGAAAAAACAAATTCACGTTAAAGCGAGCCTACTTGAGCCCTGAGGTCGGAAATCGTTATGAATTTTTTCAGTATATTCTTTGGAAGTATATAGGTGTAACCACTTTCTTTTACTTCATCTGAACTGACGTATATATTATTGGTTCGTAGGTGCATATTAGTTGCAGAGATAGCCCGGACGCGCCATTCCGTCTTACTGCTGAAATGCAAAGTTTCGTAATTGGATGTGGTGGTTGAAATAATCTCATCACCATGTTTGTTCACTGTACGAGTAGTCATTGCAGTAAGCTGGGACTGCTCTTTCGCCTGTTTCTCGATCTCCGCGATTTGCTGACGTTGTTGAGATGGTGCAGAAATCTCCATGCCCAAAATTATATCACGAATTTCGGATTGGGTCAATGAAGCAACGTTTACACTGAGAAATGAGGGAATTTTTGTCAGTAAATTGCAAAACATAACAAAATAACTAACTAGAATAAGATAAATAAAATCAGTATGAGCAAACATAGCATTAGTATTTACATAATACAGGCAAAGGAAAGCAGAAAACTATTACTTGTTTTTTTTGCCGTAGTCAGCCAAAATTAAATCTTTTAGCTGATATTCAACATTGATCCATTCCTCAGGGGAGAGCGATGGCCAAATATGATGTGGTTCTGTAATGGTAGTCTTGTCAGGTTTGAGCACAATCTTAGCTCTATCATTATTAACATGAAGAGCCCGCAAAATAAGAATCAGTCGAGAGAAAGCTGTATATGAGCTAATAGTTTTTAGCCAGTCATCATACAAGTTGAAAAGTACCATTTGAGGCTCTGTCGCCTTGAGAATCAAATCGCCAAACTTTTCGACTTTCAAGCATGCCTGGAAGGGAAGTTGAAGCTCAGAGCCCTAAAATAGAATAATTTGAATAAGCCTAGGAAAATAGAGAAAGTTGACGTTGCATTTAACCACAGATTTAAACTATACCTTGATAACAATGTTAGGGAAGTCGAGTAAATGGACTTCCAGGGGATCAAGCATGCCTTTTCGAGTCACAATAATCTGCTTTGGCTGTTCTTCAACTGGCAACGAACGAATGAGAGCCGCGACCTCCTCAGCAGTCTTCCACTTGGCTAACTGACCTAAGCGCTTCTGGCCAGCCCAAACAGACGTGTGAATGATTTTTAAGAATAACTGGCCCGTGCGAGGATTAAAAATAAAGATCGCTCCATTGATTGGTTTAGTGGTTAGATTGCCCTCAAAGGTCTATCAACGTGGGTATAAAAATAAAGTAGAAGCTTTTAGTGAACGATATAAAATAGAATAATTACCACCAAGTTAATAAGAATTATCTCACCTTGTGAATAGTAACACGATAGACATTAGTATCATCCACAAACCAGATAATCTGATTTGAGAAAAGCTCGTTATAATTTTGCGAACTAAGATAAGGCTCAGTGGGCTCGCTGGAATACAATTGCAAAGCCTTTCTAATACGCTCCCGAAGAACATAAAGAGCTGGATTGGCTTTCATGATCTTCACCATCGCTTGCTGAACCAAGGGCTTGCATCCAGGAAACCAATTGCCATAAGCACTAAAATGAAGTGCGAAAATCGAAATCTTAAGGGCATAAAGGTAAACACGTATTGATTAAATTAGCAGTAGAAATGTCTAGGAAAGTATATTTGCCAAAAGTATGAAGACCAAGATGGC